TAAACTCAGGACATCAAGCTTATTTGCAAAGTGCCTCTATCTGGTTTTCAAATGTTTAGTTTTCACACTCAGTGATAATCTTAAAAAGACCGCTAAGTCAAGGACACTATGATTATCTGCATTGTCACCTTCTGTAGAGGCCATGAATCAAATCAGCTCACAGTAGGAGCACACTGCTTTTATTTGATGCTGTTTGGTTTGTTTAATTTGAGGCAAGGTCTTACTGCGTTGCCTACATTGACCTCAAAACTAGCATTCCTCTTGCCACTAGCTCCCCAGCACTGTGATTACAGGTATGCACCACCATGTCTGGCTGGAAACAAAGGATCTTGTAAGCTGCATTTAAAAAAAAAAAAAAGTGTGTTCCAAGTAACCATTAAACAGTTGAAATGCTACTAACAGAGAGTCAGGGACCTTCTCTGTCCCAAACAGTTAAAACAGTATTAGGCAGAAGACAGTATCAGAGAACTATGAGCTTAGCCAGGGTAGTCTATGGTTTTACCCGTAAGTGCTGATAAATGTGAGCTACAAAATTGAAGGCAGGTTACAGTGCAAGGAAGATTAAGTAGATCTTGAAGAATAATAAGGACTTACTTATAGGGGAGAGTGAGAAGTACTCTAAGAAGGAGACACCTGGGTGAAAAACACAAAGATGAGAACAAGGATATTCCTATGAAAAACTATGTACATCATTAAGGACTGTGGATCATTAAGGACTGTGGATGCAGGAGGCTTGGGACAGCAGGGCAGAAAAAAACATTATAAAGGGGCTGGAAAGTTGTCTCAGTGGTTAAGTGCACTAGCCACTCTTCCAGAGAACCCAGTAGGTTTGGTTACTAACACCCACATGGTGGCTAATAACCACCCATAAGTCCAGTCCCAGAGGATCTGTCATCCTCTTCTGGTATCCCTGGACACCAGGCAAGCACACTAGTGCACAGACATACATGCACTCAAAACACCCATACATATAAAATAAAACAAAGGAAAACATGTTGAGAAAGAAAACAAATGCAAAATAACTTTGGACTTAAACATATTTAAAGGTAGTATGTAAGTTATAGTTTAAGGGTTCTGGATTACCTCTGGAGGACTACAATCAGACAGTCATACAGGTTAGCTGGTCACTGGCACAGACACAGGAAAAAATGTGTCTGGTGGAGGAAAAATGTCAAGACTTGAAATCTGGGCCTAAGTAATAGCTTCCCAATCAAGGGAATCACTGTTTTCTAAGATGGGCCTAAGTCCTCACACCCTGGGCTGTAACAACCCTGAGCCACATGTCAGTGCCTTTCACCCAGGTATGGGCAAGAGGACCAGCTCACAGTGCAGTGAAAGTGAGTGTGTGTGTGTGTGTGTGTGTGTGTGTGTGTGTGTGTGTG